CTTCCCAAGTGGTTTGGACCTTGGTCTGTGACAGCAGCCGCGGGCGACGAGTCCGATGGCCCTTCATTTGTGATCAACATTCCAGAGCATCTGACGGTCCATCCGGTCTTCCACGCCTCGAAGCTGGCAACTTACACGCCAGCCAAGAGCGACGACTTTCCGGACCGACGATCGTAGGAACCTCCTTCTATGGATGGCCATCAGGAAGTTGACCGCGTAATCTCCGCTCGCAAGTATGACAGCAAGCCGCGACAGTATAAAGTCACATTCGAAGCATGCGATCGCGACGACACTCGGTGGATATCACGCACAGATTTGAAAGCATCCGCACCGCTGGTCTACGCGCATTATGAAAAGCGCAGGTTAGCTTAGGAAGCTTCACAACCAGCCCCTCCCACCCGTACTGTGGTCCCTCCCTCAGACAGACAGCTTCGCCCTCGAAGGTAAGCTCGGTTCTTCAAGGAGGGGGAAGTGTGGCATACTGCGTAGCCACACGGGCCCTACAGGGCCCGTCCCGGACATTCAGCCTAAAAGCCTAAAACTTAGGGCTTACAGGCCCCGTTCATTTCAGCCTGGATGCTGAAAAAACGAGGGCCTGCAGGCCCTACCTCGTTTCAGCCTATTTATGGGTCTTTTCAGACCCAAAGTTTTCAGCCTGAAACGGAGGGCCAATTTCAGGCCCTCATTGTTTCGACCTGCTCCTAAGACTCAGGCACGGAAACAGGGATGCAAAAAAGGCCCAAAATAGCCTGTTCCTCACGTACTCGAGCAGGAGCTGCAGCTGCAGCCCCTGCCTCCCTTCGGCAGGCTCAAGAGGCACACCCGTAGTACATAGGAGGTTCCCATGCACTTCACGGGTAGGTAGTGTCAGTAGGCAGAGGTAGTCTTCAGGATTCGGCCACAACACTCAGGAGGAGCGCTGCAGTAGTGGTAGCGCTAGCTGTAGTCTTCGGCGCTGGGCGTCATAGCCGTAGTTGTAGTCTTCAGCGATGGGCGATGGTAGGTAGTAGATCGTAGAGTCGGAGAGAGACTGGCGGAGGTCAGTGTTACTTACCTGTGGTGCCATCGCTCCAGCTCCATCTTCGTGGTACCTGCATCAAGGCGCCAACTTCACAGGTTAGTACTGGACACAAAGAGAGAGAGAGTTCTTCTTCTTCCTCTTCTAAGTCCACCTTCCCTTCTCACCCCCTCGCCACCTGACTTTTCAGACTACGACAGAGAGAGACAGAGTTGTGACTTGAGACTTGACGACATTGGATCTAGACTTGACATTTGGGATTCAGACAGCTCAACGAGGGACTATTTGGCCTTGTGCCGCAGACTTGGTGTTGACAACATTCCCATCTTCCCCCTCCTCTTCGTCTATCCCCTTCCTCCTCGTCTGTGCATGTTCTGGGCTGGCAATGTCTTCCTGTGTGAAGCGCAAGACCCATTCACACTATGAAACGATGATGATGATGTATGTTCARGGCTGCATTACAACATTGATTGTTCGGATCACTGGTATCTATGTCTTCCGCTGTGCTATCTTATACCTTGTATTGAAAGGTCGGTTCTTGTTCTGGTCTGCACCTATACGGTATGCAACAGTTTGGTATCGGAGTGGACCTCTCATACAGAGGACCCCCTCAATCAAGTAGCCAGCTTGCGATCTATTGATCACTCATTAGTAACGCAAGTAGGACTTAGTCAAATCTCTGAAATTTTTTTTTCTCTCACAACAACTATCTGAAATTTCTGATATTCGCATTTTCGTTCTATCTGAAAATTTCTGATATTAGTAGTTCGTTTTTACGTGACAAATATCTGAAAATTTCTGATAAATCGCATTTTGTTTTGTTCGAAAATTCCCGATAGTAGCAATTCGTTGCTCTGATATTTCGCATACATAGCTGAAATTTTTGAAGTTAGTATCTTCGTTCTCTAGGCATATTGGAATAACGATAGAAGTGGTCATATTCTCGGAAATTGGAATTATTCTTTTATGAAAATCACATTTCCATTCTATCTCACAATTTTTTTTTTGAAAACCGAATCTTGCGAAGCCTACCAATATTGCGTTAGGCATATTCAGAGGTTGCTATATTCTCAGAAACAGGATTTCGTTCTTTTATGAAAATGGCATCTTTACTCCATTTCGCAAAAAAAATTTCAAGATCGCAGTTTGTAAAAGCCGAAACTTTGCGGAACCTAGCCTAGATCTCGCTCATAATACTCTTCTGACATATCCTACTCATCATAGATCGACAGATATATACAAAAAAAAAAAAAAAAGGAAGCAGTCCTCTTTTATTTTTATTTTTTTATTTTATCTGTTGATTAGGGCCGGAGGAAAGTCTTGTTGGGTTGGTTATCTACCTACATTTCTCCTCCCACCCACCCTTTGCATGCTGTTCCGGGTTGATATGGTGACACGTCAGCTACAGTGCCACGTAAGCAGTGCCACGTCAGCAATGGCACGTCAACAGTGCCACGTAAGCAGTGCCACGCAACAGTGCCACGTCTGCAGTGCCATGTCAAACGAGTGCCACGTAAGCAGTGCCACGTCATCAACATGACGGGCCTGCCAAGGCAATCGCCCAACGAGTCCATTGCCGCCTAAAAGCAGCGTTGCCTGGCTCAGATTGAGGCTGAGGAACAACGCCAGTTGGCAGCCGAGGTTGCCCGCGTACAGGCTGAAGAGGCAGCAGCAGCAGAGAAGCTGCGACTACAGGCCGATGCAGACRCAGACTCCCAGGCTCGCCGCAAGGAAGCCCAGGATCTGCTACAGCGGCATGAAGCCACAAGCATCGACAGACTCAAGTACTGGCATTTTGAACCGAACGGCGACGAGGCAANCAGACTCAAGTACTGGCATTTTGAACCGAACGGCGACGAGGCAACACCGGAAGAGAAGCACAAGGAGTTCCTCTCCAAACTCGTGACGCGGTTGTTGTATGCTTGCAACTACCAACGTTCAGAGTTGAAGAGACAGCACCGGGACCTCACGCAACAGCATCGGGAATTGGCGACGCTCCGCTGCACAGTGCAGAGCAACGAGGATGCAACTCGGGCACTCAATGCCCGATTGTTGGACCTGGAATACGCTGTACCAGGACCAGCTGCTGGAGCTTCCAGCAGTGCACCCTCAAGCCGCCAACTGGAGGACCGCGTTGGCCACGTAGTGGCAATGCTCGGCGACATCAGCACCTTCGCTGCGCCGACCACCACCATCAGCAGTCAGCTGCATACATTGAAGACCGAGGTCCAGAAGCTGCAGTCGACGAACGCGGACGACAATCCGAAGATGTACAAGATGCCAACTTTCAACCTGGAGAGGTTCGACGACTACACGCAGCAGGATCCCGTCCTCTGGTGGGAAACATTCACAACGCAACTCAGGATTCTGCCAGTAGCCAAGCATGYGTACATCGGCGCCCTGTTCCTGAACTCAAAGGGCGGATGATAGACCTGGTTGAGCCACCTGGCAACCTCCCACGGCGTTAACGTACCTTACTTGAAGGACGTAATCACATGGGAGGAACTAACACGGCTGTGGAAGAAGCGGTTCATCGTCGACGACGCGCCGACACTCGCCATCAACCGTTTGTTYACCATGTCACAGGGCAACACAGCAACACGGGACTGGCTCACGGAGTGGCACAAGATTGCGGTTGTGCCGAATCTGAACCTACCATTCGAGCATCTACGCCGTGAGTTCTACAACAGGTCSTGTGCGGCATTGAGCCAGGCTCTCGGTGATCGCGAGCAGTACTCAACCTTCACGGAGATCATTGACAATGCGAGGGAGATCATCTAGACCAACAGGTCAGCTGCACACGAAAAATCAACATGGCAGTCGACCTATGTGGAGAAGGCACGAACTGGTCCGCGACAACAGCACTTCGCTGCAGTCCAGCAGGACAGTGGAGATAACCTAGCAGCCACTCCAGCATCAAGTGACGGAGATCAGGTGGCTGCTGTCGAGCCACGAAGCAACAACAAGTCCCGCAACAATGGGAAGGCGAAATCCGCATCGCAGGTCGGAAATGGACAACCAGTACAAGTTCCATGGGTCAAGTTCGGCTTGACCGAGGCGGAGCACAAAGTCCGCGGCCGCTACGACAGCTGCTATTGGTGCAACAGCACCAAGCACAATACCTCCCTGTGCCAGGATCAAGGCAAGGAGGATGTGCGAACCCGCCTCAGCTCGGAAAACTGAGCTCCGCGGAAGGTGAGGCGACTCCACCTTCTACCCTGCCAGCTTCGGCCGCGTTGCTAGCGGCCTCCTGCACATCTGGGGAGGATGCGAATGTCGCAAGTCCTCGGTATACTTACGAGGATTATGCTGTCCACTTGGTTCCACCGCTGGACCAACCGCTCCACGTGCAACAGTGCACCGCATGCACGGTTTCATCACCATCGGCAACCGATTCGGCAGCTTAGCTGCAACCTATCGCCGGGGATTCAACGTTATGGTCAAGACTTGAAGAGCTCGACCCAATGACGTTCACAGACTTCATGTGGATGCCCGTTCCCTCGACCGGACGATTGCCGAAACCGCATTGCAACGTGCTTGTGGCACAATTGTGGAACTACTTGCATACTACGGTACCAGCTCCGTTGATGGACGCCGGAGAAGAGGTTGTCGACCTTCACGCTTTCATCACGAAGATCGACCGCGAGTTCAAGACGGAACGGTACGACGACATCGACGCACCATTGCTATACATACGCATTCAGATCGGAGAGGCGACCTGCAGTGCCTTGATCGAATGCGGAGCATCTCGCAACTACATCAGCCAAAACTTCATGGTACGCGCCCGCCTTGGCCCACGTGTCCGAAGGAAGTCCCAGCCTACGCAAGTCACCCTGGCAGACGGTCATACGCACAAGTCCATCGACCGGTGCATTGACGCCGTCCCTGTGTACTTTGCCCCTCACGCAAGTGAGGCGGTGTCCTTTGACATTCTGGACACCAAATTCGACATGATCTTGGGCATGTCATGGCTGCGAAGCAAGAATCACCCGGTGAACTTCTTCAACCGCACCGTTCACGTTCGTGACCGGAACGGAGTATTAGTTCCCTGCACGGTGCCTCTTCCTCATCCTTCGATCAGCTGCCACGTGGTATCCGCCGCAAGCATGCGAGCTTCCATCAGACGACATCGAGGAGATGGGGGTGTGTTTTCTCCACGCCGTCCCGCCACATGACGCTTCATCGACGGACTCACCTTCGGATCCACGCATCACCGAACTTCTCGACGCCTACAGCTATGTGTTCGAAGACCCGCATGGAGTACTACCGGATCGACCCATCCGCCACGAGATCATCCTCGAGGACGGGGCCGTACCTCCGCGCGGTTGCATCTACCGAATGAGCGAGGAAGAGTTAAGTGTGCTTCGGGCACAACTCGACGACCTTCTAGGGAAAGGCTAGATTCGGCCTAGCTCATCGCCATAYGGTGCTCCTGTTCTCTTCGTCCGGAAGAAGAACAAGGATTTGCGGTTGTGCATCGATTATCGCAAGCTCAACGCGCAGACGATCAGGAACGCCGGCCCTCTCCCACGCATCGACGACCTTCTCGAGCGATTGGGCGGCGCCCAGTTCTTCTCTAAGTTGGATCTCAAGTCAGGGTACCACCAACTCGAGATTCGCAAGGAGGATCGCTACAAGACC